AAAAACACCTATATTGTGATGTCTATGTCTTCAATTCCTTCTATGGCCTTTCATAATTTGGTAGAGGAAAATATGACTTTAAGAAAAAGTATATACAAATTTTTAGATATATGGTACTGTGTGATCTTGAGAATGTTACTAAGCCTCTCTGTACCTAATTTTCTAATCTGTAAAACAGGAATTATAATGCCAACAAGTTGTGAGTACCAAATAATATAATGTACATAAAGCATACATGGAATGGAGCCATTCTTAATACATAGTAACTTTACCTTAGAGACTGTACTTTTCTGAAGTTTTGGTGGCATTTTTAAGTGAATATCTCAAGGAACTTTTCAAACTATTTCTTGTTGTTCATTAGTGATGACAAAGATCCCCAATAAAACACCTCATATTCTTTCCAGTCTCTCCTAGACACAACTTTACTTAGTAGATTTCAACCAGACAGCTTATTATCATACATATTATTGGGATTACTGAGCTTAATAGGTGCTTAATACATTTTTACAAAATTCAAGATACATCCATCTCAGAATGGACTATCATCAAGAGATATTTAAGGGGTGATAAAGTATCTCCAGAGGTCTTTCTGAGAATGATCTACTTCAAATCCAGCCTTACTTGTTCTTTTACTCGTATTTGCTTCTTAATTTTCATATTTTACAATATGAAACAATTAAATCCTGCGTTTAATATTTTTTTTAAGTTTATTTATTTATTTTGAGAGAGAGAGAGTTTGAGTGTGGAAGGGGCAGAGAGGGAGAGAGAGAATCCCAAGCAGGCTCTGCATTGTCAGCACAGAGCCCAACATGAGGCTATTATCTCACAAACTGTGAGATGATTTCGTGAGCCAAAATCAAGAGTCGGGTGCTTGACCAACTAAGCCACCCAGGTACCCCTGAATTTAATATTTTTTAATGTAATAATGAGTCTAGTCAGGGTCAGCTTTCAAAAACAATGGATGTAACTGGTGAAGAGGGCAAAGAATGGGTAAGAAATGACTCCATCAGAGATATTCCAGTTGTGGGTGAGGACCACCCTACCTGCCTGCTGGGGACTAGAGATTAGAGATGAAAGGAAGCAGAGGAGGTGAAGACTGGGGGCAAAGGAGAAGAAATTGCTTCTTTTGGTGTTTAAATAGACACATGACTTCACTGATTAAGATCATTTTGTCAACTATGGCAACCTAGTTGGCCATAGAATGGGGCTAACTCCTATCCTTTTCAATCCACTCCCCTCTGCCTTCCCAAGTATATCTTGTTTTTGGAAGCAACCTTGGAAACAACATGATATAATGAAGTCAAACAGAGCCTAGAGCTCAAAACCAGGCATAGGCATGGGTGAACTCTGTGAGTAAATACATTAAACCATCTTTTTTTTTTTTTTAATCTTTAATGTTTATTTTTGAGAGAGAGAATGAGAGAGAGAGTGAGCAGGGAAGGAGCAGAGAGAGAGACAGTAGAATCTGAAGAAGGCTCCAGGCTCTGCACTGTCAGCACAGAGCCGGACATGGGGCTCAGACCCACGAACTATGAGATCATGACCTGAGCTGAAGTTGGACACTTAACCAACTGAGTCACCCAGGTTTACACCCAGGCTTTCATCTATTACCCAAAATGAGGTAGGTATGATCTTTAATCCCATTTTGATAGTGATACTAAAGCTAAGTGAATTAAGTACCTAGACTAGGTCACATGACTAATAAGAGGTAAAGCTTGGACTCCAAAACCCTCTTAACCACTAAGCTACATGGCATTCAGTGGTCCTCTATACCTCATTACCTCTGGTCCTGAGGGAATTAGATGATGCAGTGGAAGTTTTTGTGGTGAAATGAAATCAGCATTCTGCAAGGTCCACCTAACAGTCCCAGCCCTTGCCTTAAGACCCATGGAGGACAAGCTGATACCCTCATCCAACGGGAAGCCCTCTGTATGCTTCTGACCAAATATCACATATTTCAACCACTCTAAGGTGCCTCAATATTTAAGGTCCTCACCATTTCAAATACCACCCTTTGGACATACTACATTCAGTCAATGAGCCTCTAAAATTACTTTCCAGAAGGGAGCTCAAAATTCCAAATTTAGTTTAAATATTATGGAATCAATTCCAGTACATTTTTCCCCCCTGAGCAATGGAGGTTATAGGATGGTAAAAGAATGAGAAAGAGAAAAGCACACTGATCCGATCTTGGCAGACAGATGAATGATAAGATAAGGTAAGATAAGATGAGATGAGATGATGAAATGAGATGAGATGAGATGAGATGAGATGAGATGATGAGATGAGAGGAGATGAGATGGGATGAGATACCAGTATTGTCCTGATACCTACTAGTGTATTCAGTGGACCCACTAATCCTTATCCCCTTACAATCAATCCCAGTAAATGCCTAGGCTTAAGCCCCATGGTTAAACCTTATATAAATTTAATTAGCAGAATAACTAATGAGACTGTCAGGTAACTTCCTAACTATAGGTTAGGCAGTAACATCATTCTAGAAAAGGGTGAAGAATGGTGGAGGATAGGTGCCAGTTCCATTCTCAGATCTCTTTGAACTTCATACTAAAGTCTTACTGTTTTCATAATAAACCCAGAAGTCTCTGGGCTTTACTAAGGGCTTTGTCCAGCTGTATGCCATTTTAGGAATAGTACTGGCACTTGAGAGAAGAGTGTCAGTAATGTTCCTCTTTTTATTTTCCCTTTCAGGTGCTAATTTTTCTTAACTTTTAGTCTTAGCTTTTTACCTACTGTATTCTTTGGCTACAGCTGCCATAACAAAATATCACAAACTGAGTGGCTTAAACAATGGAAATTTATTTTCTCACAGTTCTGAAGGCTGGAAGTCCAAGATCAAGATGCCGGCAGGATTGGTTTCCTCTGAGGGCTCTACGGGAAGTATCTATTCCAGGCCTC